GAGACTATAAACTGAATGAAACGGATCATTATAGTCTTAGTATTCTAGTCGTTTCCACACTTTGCTTTGCATCTGTAGCTGGATACCGAAGGACGTGGCAAATTAATTTTATCTTGAACTTTCTAGATATGGCATGGCACTAGAGATATTAAAAAAAAAAAATTAGAACGTAAAAAATGTTACGCGAGCCAAATCTTTGCTCAGACAAATTCTAATGGGACATGGGGTTTATTGTTCTAACCCGTTTGGACACATTGTTGCGTAGGGCAAATCTTCATCAATATTGGGTGAAATATATATCTGTATATTGAAGTTGTCATCTAAAGTAACGAATTCCGACCAAAAATATCACTTTCTTACTCTTCAAGGCTATTCACACCATCGAGGCCAGATAATGAACATACTGTATTATTATGGAAAAAAGTGTAACCGCATGCAATTGACTGAATGCCATCCTAGTCTCGACGATACATTTCAACATGAAATTTAAATATCTTGGAACCAAAATTAACAGAGTAATTGTCATAGAAAATGATATTTTTATTCATCGTAGGGTGAAGGTTTCTTTCAAATATAAGAAATAATTCTTTGTTAAGAAATTGATGAAGTTCAATTTGGTGTTATTTATCTTATGTAAATATGATCTATAATAATTGAGCCGTTTAAGATAATCAATGCAGCATAGGTTGTATTTATTAACTTGTGATGTAACATAACACTAAGATTAAATATAATAAAATAATGTAATAACATGTATTATCTCTTTATCGTTTCAACTTTTACGCAAGGAAACAAAAGGAATAGTTTTGATACGGATCTTTGAAATATCTAGAGTACATAGCTTGAGGCACAATAAGTTTTTGTAGTGATCGTGTTGAGCTTTTCCCGGAGAATATAGATATATATGATAATCAATATTTAAATATGAAAGAAACAAACCTAATTTACCTATAAGGGTTTATGAAGTCTAAAGATGCTCTGCCTTAGGTGTTACAAGAGAACACGACGATCTTATCACTTTAACTAAGTCAAGTCGTCAAATGTATTACAGCTTAGGGCAAAGGGTTTTCTTTTCATAAATTCAGAGAGGAAAATATCACATAAAATATTTTAAACTATTTAAAGATACACTATCTGAATAAGCGTATTAAGACAATTGCTGATGGTACAGAACTTTAAGATCTTGGGTTTAATCCCTACATCCAGTCCAGATAATATCGGGCCAGTTGATCGATGTGAAAATCTAGCTGCTAACCTTGAATAAGCGACGCAATACCAGTGGGTACAAGATGTACAGTAAAACTATATAAATTTGAACGACATTTGGAAGCGTAGAGCACATAAAACAAACAACACAAGGGAATATATTATGGTATAACACACTTCTTTAATAAAAAAAAAGTACGAAGCTGTTGATGACAGTTAAATAAGTCGAATTAGTTTGCGAACTTTACCTTTACAGAATGGCTGAAGGATGCACGGATACTATACATGCATTTGACAATGTTACTGGAATTTAAGAGCGGTAGTTCTGGAGCCTTCATTGCATTCAAGTACAATGTTCAATTTTGATAGGCCAGTTAAGTGACAGATTCACCATTTTCGGAGGTTCATTTGCGCCTTGAAAATAAGTAAATAGTCTTCAGAAGTTCTAGAACTGTACGAAACTCGCGCTAGAACTAGAAAGTTCACTTTTTAATTATTTCGTTCACAATTGAGGTATCCGAAAGGCTTCTTTATATATTCTGATACGTCGCAGTTGTGGACGAATGAGTCTACCGTATAAGATAGAGATTTGTTGTTGCAGGTCTAATAAATAAACACCAGGTCCTTGATGCACGTTGGCCTATGCATAAAACATAACACGAACGAATCGAAATAACGAAAAAAATGTAACATTTGGATATCCTTTTTATACGCCTTCATTATAATATAATTGGCTTGTGAAGGCAATAGAGACCACAGTTTTATCTGATTTGAATGAAATTTGGTGTGATCATTTATATTAATGAGATCTTGGACGATCGCATTTGACGATCTTTCGATGAACGGTGTTTGAGTTATTGCCCCTGACTTATGAAAAACGCGTCAAAATATGGTTGTGAACACAATAGACTGCAGTTTCATCTAATTTAAATGAAATTTGGTGTGAATATTTATAATGATGAGATCTTGGACAAGTTCGAATTTGGCTATCTTCCGATGAACGGAATTTGAGTTATTGCCCTTGACGCATCAAAATTTGTTGGCGATAGAGGGGACAGTTTATGACAGAATTTTATTAAATAATGTGTGTTTGTTTAGTCAACAATATCTTGCACAAATTAGATTTTTGGTATGATTTGACACAGATAGGTGACCGCCCTTGATATACTAAAAATGTATCAGGAAAGTGGGCGTATCTTGCTAGGCAACCACTTGTTTCTTCTAACCGGGAAATTAGTAAAATTCAACACCGGTTGTATTTTATCAAATGTTAAAGCGAAATTAGCATACATGCCTGTTTAATACCGCTAAATAGGCCTATTGAGAAGTTATATTTTAGTATTTTTCCATGAAATAAAGCGAAATAGACAACTATGATTAATATTATTGAATATTCGCCAAGTAGACACCTGCTCTTAGACAGCCCTGTCGCCAGGAATGAATTTGAGCTGGGTCTCTTAGGAGCTAAGGGGCCAATCCGGTGAAAATGTACAATTTATTAACTCGGCGCCAAACACCTTGGTTTAGTAGTTAGAAAATGCAAATAAATCAATCTGAACTGAGGAGGGGTTGTTGGGGCTTAATTCTCTCTTGCCAACTTCCTAGACCTAACTCAACGATGGATCTGCTCTTAAATAAACAGCAAGACATACAAAGCCCAGATAGAGTGTCTGACGCCGCCGTCCATGGATCTGCGTTTTCCGATATACTATAGCCCACACATACACGCCTCTCGTAAAAAAAGGAGGTTAACTTTTTTGTTGTTAATGAGACTATTATTACTACTATTTAAATAATAGCAATAGCAAAATAATATTATCACTCAAAGGTGTCCCCCAACCTGCAGTAAAACGTAAGAATGCTATGGAGGAATTCATGTAAGTATGCTTTGCACAGATCCGGCAACTCGAGAACAGTCATGGAAATAGCGACTATGTGCTTCTTATTCTGAAAGAGGAAACCCTAGGCTAAGCCTATAATAATTTTCCTGGTAAAATATGAATTCATCACTTAAAACACCTAGGCCTATGTAAGTTGCTGAAAATAGGTTTACGGACTTCTTATTCTTCACAATTTCCACGGCGTATAGCATGGATAAGTAGTATGTCGAGTTTGCAGATAAAAGTAACGATTCGTCAATAAAAAAAATAACGATATATCTTGTCTGCGAATGCTGTATATACCATTTACGCCACGGCTTCATTGTCTTATAACTGAAGCAAGCTTCCAACAATATTAACATTCTAAAATGGGGATTTTATAAGTGAAATAATCAATAAAAAGCTTTTCAAAAATATCGTCTTAATCAAATCAATAAATTATGTTTCATGACAAATTCTACATGCTGACGACGTTTGAGGCTTGTTTTTAATATTTTTTTTTTATTTTTTATTAATTTAACCGATTTTTATACGCCCACATGAATATGTGGTCGTATATCATCGTCGCCCCCTGTCCGTCGGTCAACATTCTTGTGGACACATTAGACTAGTTTTCATTTTCTTGTAATGAAACTTGGTGTGAGCATTGGGATTGATAAGAAGTTCGAATTTGACGATTTTTCGATGAACGGTTTTTGAGTTATTGCCCTTGACTTAGTAGAATCGCGTCTTAATATTTTATTGGGCACAGTATAGGCTACAGTTTTCAATGGATTTAGATGAAACTTGGTGTGAGCATTGAAATTGATATGATGGCAGTCATGTTCGAATTTGATGATTTGTCGGTGAACGGTTTTTGAGTTATTGTCCTTGTTCTTGAAAATGCATTTAATTTTTAGCACATAAAAACTCTAGAAGGCACAATTATTGATGGATTTTGGCGAAACGTTGTGTGAGTGTTTGTTATCAACCAAGGATGAACCCTGTCGAAAATTAAAAGAATTGAAAAATATTAAAAATGAGTTATTGCCCTTGTTATTGAAAACACATTCAATTTTTAGCTCGTAAACGCCTAAAGGCCTAATTCTTGACAGATTTTGACAAAACTTAGTAATATTATACAGTATTGCCCCAAAAAGTTCAAAAGAAGTGTAAGATTTCTTGTCAGGTAATTGTCACTATTTGACAAATATTTTTGTTAAAAATCTAAGCTGCCAGTGGGTGTATATTTCCTGGCTTTAACTTTTCTGGTTGTCTTAAAGTTAACATTTTTTTAAGGCAAGTTTGTTAACGCCAATTTGACCAACGTCACGTTACAGGCGTGGACTATAGTTCTATTTATCTCTATGGTATTGACCCCTTTAATCAAACATTAGTCTGCGATATCAGTCATCTTGAACCAAACAATTAAAATATTAAACATATATAAAATTCCAATGTTGAACTAATTATGCATTCCATTATGCAATATTAACAGCGGCCACGACAATAAACATGCCCCTTAAAAATTGTATTACAACGCACCAAATCAATTCTATTTTAAAAACTTTCTTTTTCCAATCTGATTAGGATGCTTGCATTGAATCTCATACCCTCAACTCCCACCCCCTTTACAGTCTTGGTGCAGAAAAAGCAAGACGTGAAACTCCATTCATTTCATTTCATTTAGGTAGGTAGGTAGATGACAAGTTAACGTTCGCTTCCAGTGGATGCTGATATCGCAAACTAGGTAGTTGTTGGTGGTTGGATTGGTTCAAATTGGATGATTCTGTGTTGTTGGCTTGGTTGTTGATTCTTCGTTAGATCTGGTCGGGTCGAATGACATGGCGGTGGAACTCGGCCCTGGATGGTGTGGCGTGAGTTAATCGATCTCCTTCATTCTTCCAAACACGTTCTGATCATGGTATTTCTTGTTTATTGGTAGTTGAATGGTAGTCGTTGGTTTGGTTTGGTTAGATTATCTGTTGTCTGTTGGAAAACTAGAAGATCTGAAAAAAAAAAGAAAAAAAAAAGAAAGTGAGAAAAGAGGGAGGAAAAAAATAAAAGGGGGAAAAGCTTTCAACAAAATGGGGAAAGATGTTCTCAGATGTTTCTGCAATGAAACTTGCTAAATTGATTGGATATAATTAAAAAGTGTTAAGAAACTTTGAGTTTAAAAACTTAGCCTACCTGTTCCGAAACAGATTTGGTTATAAAATGGAAGATTAGTTCCATTATCGTATACCAGTGGTCCTTGGGTGGAGCCAAAACATTCTGTATAGTGAGTGGTATGCCGTTGGTTTCCAGGTACTCTGTAAGTGGCTTTGAGCGGGTTTGAGTACAGTGCATTGAATACGGACATGCGACCTTGTGGCAACGTGGCCGCAGCGACATTTAATGCGGTGACTGGTGGTCTCGTAGTACGTTGTTGGTCTGGAGTCTGGTTACCACTTTGCAGATGGCTACAGATGGATGGTTTGGTTTGTTTTGGTATCTTCGGATCAATCTGGTATCTTGCCGTGTCGAGGTTCCGTAACATGTCGGCTTATTTCTGGTTGCTCCTAGAAGATACGATACTGCTGAATTCCGAATAGGAGTATTCTACAGGCTCGATATCCTCCAGACTCAGACTTTCCTTGGCACAACGGTCTGCTTGATCATTGCCAGGAATGGAGGCGTGCGATGGAACCCATACTAATTCAATCTTATGGTCGTTGTTGGTTTGGTAGTTGTGTTTCATTTACAGTTTGCGTATACGTCCTTCAAAAATTTTGGCTGTTACAATTATTAAATCAGATTAAATTTTAAAGTAGTATAAGGTTTTACAAGAGATACTCTCTTATAGAAGCAATGGTCTAAATCACGACTAAGTAGCGACTCTGGATAAAAACATTGGAATACATCAATTTGATAGGAAATTACCTACTTCTGGAGAGAGATTTACAAGATAAACAAATAATTCAGAAATGCAAAGCGATTGTTTCAGAGAGTTAATGAAAGGGTTTTTAATCTACCATAGACAAGAATATTACTAAGAATGAAGATAGTGTTCGTTGAGCTATTCTTCTCCAGTAGATGGGAGGTAACCTTTATTTAAATTAAAACCACAAATAATTATTATTATGTCTTCGATATTGTTGTTGCTAATTCTAGAATATACAATTGACTAACATCTTCATGGTCTGTTTCAATATTTAATTTTCTAAATAATGAACCATTGAGAATAAATCAGTAATAATCTGAAACGCATAAGAAACGTAATTTATGAAAATACTGATAAAAACTAAATTTGCAAATTCTGTGGCAAATAAATCCTGTATTTAAAATTTTCAATTGATGGCAGAGCTGGTGTAGGAGGGCGAACGTTATGTGCGTAGTTGTGTTATGGAACGGGACCCACGTCGCGACTCAAGCCAGAGAGTTGTAAATGTGGTCCTTCAGAATAGTAGTCCAGGTAGCGGTATTAGGCCTACCATTGCCAAAGTTCTCAAAACTCTAAATCGCACCTTTTACCTCGTCACTTAACAAGACAACACCCGTACCCGCACTGTCAGTTACCATGAACTTCCTCCAGTGGCACAATATCCATGCCTTGTCCAGCCCGGATTTGAATCCTGTGGATGATTATATTATATCCATAGAAACTTCAAAGGACATATCTGTATTTTACTAGGATAACAACTTAGGTTCGCAGTTAAGGATCCTTTCGACCAGATTGTTCATGGCCAAAACTCTTGGTATTGATCTTTCCCGGATTATCCATACCCATTTACATCTGGGTCGACTGTAAAGATGACTTATGAGGAGACATAGAGTAAACTTAGATAAAGGCATTCATAATAAAAATCCGTACAAGCAACACAATTCCATGAACCCAAAAATTCTCGGGTTATGCTATTCTTAATTCCACGTATTACTACCGTTTATCAACTACGATTAGTTTCTTGCATAACAAGAGTTACGTAGGAAGTAATGAGATCAAAGCAGTGTCAATGGCCGTGAGCACCTTGTTGGATCCGCCATTGAATTAATTGCGGGAAATCAATATCAAGTTATAGGTCAGTTAAACGTAAAATGACAATGACACAAATTTTTCTTTTCTTTTCTGTTTTATCAACCTGTTGTGATACAATTCTCTTGGTATCCAATTTCTGTCTAATAAATTTTGGATAATGAAATATATTGACGAAAATTAGCTCTAATATAGAGAACATAAACCGCCTTTTCTTTAATCCAACAGGGGTTTTGCCTACAGATGCTGTTTTTTTTTACTACCAATGCCAGCATTGGCGCCATGCCCAGAAGCCACCACCTTTAAAAATATAAAAGCAAACCAGTTTTGGAAACTATTATAAATTATGAAGTAAAGACTGACTGGACAGTTTCAGTAAAATTACTAAAAATCTCGAATACCAACTCTGAGGATAAGCGTTTCATATTGAGGGCTGACAACCAGAGGTGAATATCTCCATTTCTTCCAAATTTTGATTTATTTTCAAATATATATTATGCACAAATTTTGTGTTTTTATATCAATAAATAATTGTTATCCACCCATAGCAGATTGTACACAATATGCACTTTTAGCCGATTTCTTACTGCCAGAAGTGAATACGTTGGATATGTTCATTTCTGGCAGTAATTGGTATGCAAGTCATCGAGTGATCTCCCTTAGACAAAATGGCGGAAAAGCCTAGTACATCTGCTTCTAAAACAGAAAAACTGCAAAAAGGTTAGTTTATTAAGTTATTTGATATTTCCAAGCATAAGTTATATAACATAACTGAACAGGAAGTTATAAGAGAAAATATCTGTATCAAATTATCCATTATTAAAGGCCACGGACTGTGCCTCTCAAGTGTGCTTTAAAACGACTTTTTGTAGCACAACCTGGAGATTACTTTTTCTCACCTGGAATCTATTCCTATATGTTATAGCTAACTAAAAATCCATGTACCCACTTTCAGAAAGTGTCACATCTCCATATTTCAGATTTTTAATATGCGCTTTTTAATGTAATTTTTATACAAAATATCTAGAACTTTAATGAGCTATGAAAAATATTCTGAGACTGTGAGGCATGAAACATTCAGGATTCGTTGAATATATGGTTCAGTCTCCACAGATGTTATAAATCAGTTAAAAAAAACTGTTAGTCAAAGGGAATAACAAAAATACACTCAACATTCAAAAATGCTAAACTTGTAAAGGGAGATAATTCAAATACTTTCATTTAACACACATTCAGTTGCAAATATGAAATATTATGACTGTTAGTTATATTAAGAGACAATTTAATAGTTATATTTCACATTTACCAGTCTAGAATAGTCATTAAACATACATCAATCCGTCAGTTTCCAATTTGAAACGTTAACACTACCAAAGTAATCAGTGAAACCTTTTTCTTTCTCGACTTTTATTACATTTACAATAAACATTACTGTTACATAAACTTTGCTAAATCCATTTCCATCCAAATAATTAAGAAATTCACCACATTCCACAAGAGACAAATGCACCTCTTGATAATGTGGTTCTAAAAAGAACGAGCTCAGACTTAGGGCCATATGCAGTGCTCGTACTTTACCGAAACTTTGACTAAAGTTAGACTTACATCGAACTTTAGGTATGCAGCGGTCGATTTTTACGAAAGTCGTTCTTAAATTTGACTATCAAATGTAGAAAATGAAAGCCTTAATCCTAACTTTGTAAAGTTCGACTTAAGCCAAAGTTCAACTTTAGTCAAGGTTACAGCGCTGCATACGGCCCAAAGTCTTTCATGGAATTTCGGAGGGATAGAAGGTGGAATTCTCAGATTTTCTAAATGGAAAAGGGATGGACCAACTTCTTCAGCAGTGAACAAGGATGAGCACATTCACGACTTGATAGCCACTGCCCTAATAAACAAACTTACACCATTATTTATCAAATAAGACCTTCACGAAAAATAAAATCTGGGAGACGATTGGTTCTCTGGAATGAATGATGACTAGATACCACTTGAACTAAACAATTCAAGTTGAATATACGTGTTTTACAAAATTTGTGTTCCAGCCATGAATTCTGTTTTATACAATACGTACAGAACTACATATATGTATTTTACTTCTGTAATTTGACGTATTCTTCTCCATTGGGATGTTAACAAAGATATATAATTTTCTTACCAGTAACAACTTGTTTTCATCAATCTTGAATGTTTTCTCATATAAATAAGCTTCTGAACCTAACCTGAAGAAAATGGGTAATAAATAAAGTTTATGTAATAATCAAAATATTTAACACATTAATATTAGATATACAAAATACTCCACAAATTGTTTTTTATATTTCTATTGCAACCTGTTCTATTAGACAAAATTGCTAAGGAGTTTTACACTTTCTGTGGCAGTTGTAAGTGTATTATTTTTTCAATAAATGTACAACAGCTCTATAAGTATAACGGTGAATATGCCTTCATTTTTATACGCCCACATGAATATGTGGTCCGTCGGTCCGTCTTTACACTCTGGATGTCATCATATTTAGGAAATCCTTGTGTTGTCCATAGTTGTTTGAATCTTTCAAAGTTCATCTTTTCTGATGTTTGGATATAAGCGTGGCAATGTCCTTTTCTTCCACTTAGTCCCCATTCATTTCCAGCTACTAACTTTCCGGCGAATTTCCAATTCATCCACTTCTTTTGAATACTGTACTTTGCTGCTTTTCCTATGGTTAAGAAGAAATTCTGTCCGGCTTTTTCCACTTTTTCTTTCTTCCCTGATCCTAAATGCTTCTTTGTTTTACAGTGTCTAGCCCATTGATTCGTTACTACATCACAATCGCACTTTTCACATCGTTTTTTGGTCAATTTCGCCATGTCGACTTTTTTTCAGCGCCGCGTATACTAGTATTGCTTTTATACGCGGCGCTAGCAAACGTCGATTTTATGACGTCAAAAGTATTTTCCATCTCTAACGTTAACGTTTTGACGTCAAGTTTCCTTAGTAACGTCAGTTGCAAGTTTAAAGTGACATTAAAGATGGCATTCCAGGGGAAAAGACGTTTTTTCAACCGAAGGCGTTTTTATGCTAAAAAGAGATATTTTAATCGTCGAAGAAGGAATTTTTATAGACGTAGACGTGCTCCTATTCGTAGAAGGACCTATAGGAGAAGATCTAACTTTATGAAGAGGATCTATAAAGGAATTGTTCATTCTGAACATAAAGCTTCTCACGAATTTAATCTTGGTGCTAAAGGAATCTACACCTCCAATCTTTGTTGGAACTGGCATACTTTTTTGACTGGTTCTATAAAGAGTCAGACTTCATCTTATCTTAATCTCTTTGATGAAGTGAAGATTCGACACGTTACCCTGGTGTATTGGCTGAGGAATAATGGTAATAGTTCTATTACTTATGAACAACCTACTATGACCACCACTTATGACCCCGATGCTCAAGGTCGTACGATGTCTATTGATAATCAGAACTGCTGTCCTAATACCCGAGAGAAGTTAATTCGTTATGGAAAGAAGTACAAATTGAGGATGTATCCTAAGTTTCAACCTAAATTGTCTGCTGCCAAATCGGTTGCCATTGGGGGCAATGCTGTATCCCCCTGGATTGATGCTGCCTACTTCACTTATAGTGCCTCTCCTGCCTCTTCTATGAATGGAATTATCTACACACTTAAAGCTTCTCCTAATACCTTTGTAGAGGGATATTATAGTGTTGGTCTTTCTTGGAAAGGACGCAGAGATGGACAGATCTATACAGCCAAAGATGATCTTTATTCTGCTGCTACTCCTGAAGGATTTGAAGTTTTGGAGGGGTTTGATACTGTCAACTAGCTGCCAGACGAGGGGCCACACCACGAGCCGGAGTCCCGGAGGGCGGAGGCGATCTGTGTTAGGGTCCAGCTGCCATGGAGTATTTAACGGTTCTTGCCCTTGTTTTAGGGTCCATGTTTGATTAAAAAAAAATATGTAAGGCTTGAACTGTATTTTAATTTTAACAATAAATAAATTTAACATATAATCATCTTGTAATCTTCATCTTGTTTTATCAATTGGAAGTTCCAATACCTGTCTGCCGACATCTTGCTTTCATCAGGCATGAAATTCGCCATGCACACCACTTTCGGACTTCTGAAATGCTTAGTTCTACTATCGTACTTCGCTGAGAACAGGTATCCATCTTTAAGATTTTCCAGTATGGCGTAGTTTACGAATTTTCCATCCTCTCTTGTATAGTTAAAGCATACTATACCTCCCCCGTTGTAGGCATAACTTATATCTTTGGAATTGGAATTTTGGAAGATAGCTGCTCCTTCCACTGCATTAAGGTATTTACATAGGTAAGTTTTACCTGCTCCACCATCTTTATCGAAAAGTATCTCTCTATCTTCTGTTTCTTTTAAAATTCGGATACATGCTCTTTGCCATCTTTTTAACTTCTCTTCTTTGTAAAGTTCCTTTACGTCGTCTTCATTATACTGTCTTGCATATTCGTTGTAAACTTCTAGGAATGCTTTCTTCTGGTGGGGGTAGGTTGCAATATGGGTAGCTATTACGATTATTGGGGTGTCCCATAAATGGGACAATGGCTTAAAATGGGTTAATTGAAGCAGAGAAAACATAGCGTCGGAAGAACTTTTCAGACGTAATACATATATCAACATCATTCTATGGAACTGTTAATGTTACTTTACATTTCAAGGCTATCAATGAATGCACAGGAGAAAGTTGCGTTTCTGACAGAGCATTTAGGCATGTTCCACAAATTATACAACTTTTCTTTTTAAAACCAACAAATCCAGCTATATAGGCAACAATTTTATGGGACAAAGACGACAAGAGATGAGGTTTTGGCGTATAACTGTAATCTTCGTGAATGGGCTGCAACATAAAACTATCATCGCACAACCTATTTTTAATTGTGGAAGAATTAATCAACTCAGATGCGCACACTTCCGTATCAACATTGTTGCACAGTATACGGCTTGACGTAGTCAAAACAGGGACATTTTCAAGAGCCAAACAATTTCCTGATCTAATATCTTGTATATCATTATGTACAAGTAAATTTTTAAAAGACGTTTTGAATTGTCTAGATGTGGGATTATTATTGCAACCTCCCATACTTATAATTTTACCAAAAAAGAGTTCGATATGGTCTTGGCTTAACTTGTAAGTTAATAAAAATTGCTGATCTTCAACGTTAACAAGTTGTAACTCACACATAATGGCTTTAGGTGAAATGACGACGGTTTTGGTAGATACATTAGAAATATGAATAGGGATAACATCAGATTTGTCATAATCAAACAACATAATGGTTGGTGAAATATCTTAAACCGAATCTACAGCACTATTACAAGGATGAGCCATTACTGTAGTTTTTGGACAATACAACTTCTTGTCTACGAAACCTTTAAGTGTCGCACTTGAATTTGGATGAAGGGATACATTATGAGATTCTGCACTTTTAACTATTTCCACAGAATAATTCTGTTTCAACAACTCATCATATAATGCTATAGTGCGAAACGTTAAATATCAAGATGTGTGGGATTCAATCTCTGATAAAACGACATGCCTTGCTGTTCCCTGCATTCATTCATGAGCGTATATAAAATATTTGTACCTAGGAAAACAGGGACTTGCGAATTATATCTACTTACCGGAACTACCAATAATAAACACTGCAAGCCAGAATTTTCTAATAAATCTGGAGTTTCCAGTGTTGCTTCAATATACCCAGAATACAGCAAAGAATTACCACCAGCACATTCAATATCTAAAATGTTTTCTAAAGGATACAACTTTAAATGAGATAAATGATTGTAGAAATAATCCTCGTTGATAGTCGATACCGTAGAACCAGTATCTAACAATGCAGAACAAGTCAAGCCTTCAATTTTCACAGAAACCTCGTTTGGCTCACCCACCAAACATAAACCTACCGACGAGGGAAGTCTCGATTTCTCCAACCCCGTGACCCGAGGCTTTGATCGTTTTCCGACCAATTGTTATGCTGTGTTGGTGACCTACAATTCATCTGTAAAAGCCCAGGTTAACCACATCTCCAACACACTGGTCCTGTGTGACAACTATTACGAAAATTCGTAGACGTTCCAAACCTACTATTTCCGTCCCTTCGAGATGTACTATCGGAAGATGATTGGACAGGTTTAACAAACTGAGATACAGTCTCCTTCAATTCACCCATTTGAGTAGACAACGTCTTCACTATGCTCTTAAGTTCCTGTAACTCTGAGTCATATGAACGACCAGAACTAACCATATTAGACTGTTTAGGTTTTACATCAGTAGTCGATTTTCGACTATTCAAATCGAACTCGATACGCCTTACCTCAACTCTTAGTTCATCGAAAGTTGTAGGTTGATCGTATTTATGCGAAGATACATCCTTCAAATGAGGTAATAATCCATGCCAAAATACGACGGATTGCATTGCCAAATCTTCGACTCTACATGCCCAAGAAGTGACAGATTCAGCCTCTTTCTGTCGAGCACTATAGAAATTAGCAATCAATGATTCTGATTCTTCACAAATACCGGACACGCTTTGTAGTTTAGCTAATATTTCTTTAATGGTCGCTTTTGTTCCAAGACGCATAATAACCTTACCAGCTTCCCCCTCTAATGAACGTCGAATAGCCAGTAAAATGATGTGATCGGGGTACACATGCTCAGATATCAAACAGTCAGCTTCATATTTCCACAGATCATAACTTACCTCTCCTTTTCCAAACTCACCGTAAAATATTGATAGTTTTGGAATCTGATTACTACGTCCTCCGGTACTTCGTTCAGTTTCTTCTGACTTATTTGGCCACTTACCTTGAGCTTTTAATGTCTCGCTCATCCAAGACGTTACACCATCTGCAGTATGCACATCTTTTGGAAATATACCCATTTGAACCAAAGTGTCGCAAACACCAACTATATCATCTTCCTCAAGATGGCCTTCCTCTTTTAACTTATCCATAATGCAAATTAAATATAAGAAATCAACATAAAACTGAAAAAACCAGCAAATTGAAATACCTCAGCATGCAACTAAATCCTATTAAACTGACATGGCCAGATTTGAACCAAATTTGACAAAGCATACATGGAACGGTGCAACCACAAGAACCACATGCGAGGCAGAGGAAAACGTGCTAAGTCCGGAAAAGAAAATACAAAATTATATTTTAGTTACAACCTGCATTCATACTTATTTATCACCCATTCTGTACAACATGAAAAACAAAAATATACAAAATTAGACAACATAATACAATTAATGAAACATAATTCACACAATTTCAGTCACTGCTGTCGAAAAATAATTTTAGTCATCGTCGTTGCTCCTACACTTTCAGTCACTCTAATCTTCTATACCATAGCATCTCAATTAAATTATTGATACCGGAACCAAGAAAAATATATCATCTTCCGCGAACACAACACAAAAACACGCCACATTTGTATCAAACCATCCTCCTCCCTGGGGGCTCCATCGTCGCAGCTACACGCCCCTATGCAAGATGGAATCTGGGACTCGCCACGTATTTGGGTCAAAGGATGGAATTACAGATTACAGTTTCATACATTTATTACACACAACATTACATCTAATAAATACACCACATGAAAGTCGGATAGTCGCGGTTATGTGGATATGTGCTAAATACCAATATGGAGGCTTCCAATGCATTCCGCCATTACTAATTAGATCTACACCATCATACCATTAGTAAAAAAGGTGTCTAAGGACTAGTGCTCAAGTACCACCAACCAAAATAAATAGCCCTGAAATGACAATAGGTTCTGTCTAACAAATCAATATCTTCGGCGTAAAATACATCTAAATATTATCCATAAATATTATCCATAGCCCGCGACTAACATTAAATCATATACCAAACATATTAGAATGAGTGACAAACATTACCTCATCTACTTCGACAATTAGTAGAAGTCATATTAACATACGATCTAAAGAATAAAATATAGTTACCAGTTTGTGGAATAGGACCACAGAAGTTAGCAGCGCACTCCAACTATCTCACATGTGGGTCCTGGGCCACTGTAGCCAATTCTCGCTCCACAGAATTATATTCTTTATTCGAGGGTCGTCAGTGTGGTCCTGTACAACATAATCAAGAATTTTCACAAAAGAGCTAGCGATGTCATTAGCAGAAGGCCAATTTTGAGCCTCATTCCATACAGCCCCGTAACCTTTTTTAATTAGAGAACACTGGGCTGTCATGTAGTATACATTCAATTTTCTTCTATAAAAGAAATTGGACACATCCGCTGTGGGCATAGCAAAAACATTTTGTAGGTCGAAACATACAACCATTATTGTCCTTATCTGATCGATCTTTGTCTCTTCCGACTTTGGTTTCGGCTTCGTTCCTTAAATGTGATCTTTGTTGCTCCCCGGTTCTTAATCTTAGCAGATGCCTCGCAATGATCGCATCTGTCCTTGTAAGGAGTGTGGAATGCGATATTAAACTCAGAATTAAATATTTCCCTGTATGGATGAAGTTTACCTGGTTCTGAGCCAGATACATGACACTTACAAAAATTTGATTGAAAGTCCTTTCGCCAGATATTCCTTATTAGTACTTGAACGACATTAATGGGACTAATTATTACTAATACTAGGTGTCGCTTGAATGCCTTCCTCAATATCAGGAGGAATTCCTACATTGACGCTTTTGTCCCACTTAAACGGAATCGGTGTTCCGCCCACTGTATTCTTAGACTTGTGGTAGTTGATAATGCGTTTCTGGCTAATGGATAAGGTGTTGAAGAAAAATTGTTTGCAAACT